ACTAAGCCTAGCCTAATCCTACTTCACAAGGTTTTCTTGCTGTGACCCATGGAAGAAATTTTATACATGCATAAAAAGTCTAGAAGTGCAATTTCTGATAGTCTGTCTTTACTGTTGAATAAGCACCTCATTGTCTTCCCTTGGTAGATTTCTTGAGAAACCAAGAATCAGATCTGTGTTTCCCGTCCTCCTGGTACAAAGTTGTGTTCACTGGCAACCTTTGTACAGTGTCTTCATGTTGGCTTCAGCTCCATTTCCCTGCTATGGTTGCCTTCTGTTTGCTCTGGTCCATCTTGTATTTCATTTTTGCTATTTTGTATATAATTGTGAGAGCCATTCTTTTTTTTTTCCCCTGGGTGGAGAAAGATAAGGATTTCACTGACTGAGACTGTTGTGGTTTCTTGGAGGTTGTTAGCTGGCAGTAGCTTTTGAATTCTGGTGTGTTAGCGGCATGTATCCTATTTTAATCTTGCTTCCTGTGGAAGTGCCTCGGGGACACAGTGTATTTCTAAATTTAGTGTGTGCAATACTGGATCACACACAGTTTCTGCCAGACCCTAGGCAAAGCTTTGGAGGTCGTTCAGGTCTGCACATGAAGGATAAAGTTCTTCAAAAGTGGTTTATACAAGAAAGATCCCTGGTGACTAACAAAGTACCCAAATCATTGAATTTTACAGCAGTTAAAAGGGGTTTGGGGGCTGGAGAGATCGCTCAGTGGTTAAGAGCACTTGATGTTCTTGCAGAGGATCTGAGTTCTGTTCCCAGCACCATGTCACTGCTGCCTATAACTCTTAATTAACTCTAGGGTATCTAATGCTCTTTTCTGGCCTCTGTGGCACATGCATGCACGCATGCACACACACAAATTCTTGGGCATTAGATTACACATACTTAAGTTATTTTCTATCTCATTACAGGGTGACCTTTCTCTAAACTCCATTGAAATCTGGGCCTTAAATAAGCTACATGAAGTTTACAGAGAAAGCAGAAAGTGAAAGTGAGGTATTAGAACTAAAGAAAGTTTACAGTAACTGGATGGCTTGGTGGGTAAAGTGCTTGTCACACAAGTACAAGGACCAGAGTTCACATCCCCAGCACCCATGTACAAGTTGGATGTGTTAGTGTGCATATATAACTTTATAGCTGGGGGTAATAGATACTTGGAAATTGCTGGTCAGGTAGTCTTGCCCAATTGGTGAGCTGCAGGTTCACTAAGAGACTGTCTCAAGCAAAACAAAACATGGAAAGTAATATACAAAGATACCCCCCCTTCTGTCACATGTACATACCCTCCACCCTAAAAGCAAAGAAAAAGTTACAAGGTCTTCAGTGTCTCCCATGATTAAAATACAAGGAATTAGTGCAGAAAGAACTTTTTTCTTAATGTCAAAAGGGAAAATTTGAAATAATATACTTTTCATCAGTTGTTCAATATCCTTGATATTTCTTTTTTAAAACTTTTTTATTGATAGCTAATAATGATGCCTTTCAATTGCTTGCTTATTATTTATTTTGGCTCATGGCCTATTTGTTTTGGCACGTGGTCTTGCTCTGTATTCCAGGCTGTCCTCAAACTTGTGATCTTCTTGAGTGATGAGGTGACAGGCGTGTGCCAACTGATAATATTGATGAGCTAGGAGCAGCACCACCATACATTTTCCATGTATCTTTATCTCTCCTAGCATATGGGTAATGTAGATGCCCCTCATTCTGTTCTAAGGGGAAAATAGATGACGAGAGCCCATTCCACACATACCAGGTTTTGTCTGAGTAACCCAGTACTCAGACAAGGTTGTATGTTAGGAGCATATTTTCCCGCTATCCTGGTCCCAGAGCCGCACCAGCCCCAAATAACACAGAGACACTGTATTAGATATAAAGTTGTTGGCTAGTTACTATATCTCATCGGCTAGCTCTGTCTTAAATATTAACCCATTTCTATTAATCTAAATATTTCCATGTTGTCTCATCTTACTGGAGAGAGGACTCGGCATTCTTCTCTCAAGGTCCTACATTTTGAATCTCCTCCCTACTATTTCCTCTCTCCTCTTTGTCTCCCAGTCCTGCCTATCTTGCTTTCCTATTGGCTAACAGTGCTTTATTCATTAACCAATTGAGAGAAACATACTTACAGAATGATATCTCCTATCTCCTCTTTTCTGTCTAAAATAAAAAGAAGGGTTTTAACCTTAACATAGCAAAATATATAACAAAACAGTTATCAAATAAGAACCATAGGTAACAATATTTAGTCCAATAACATTTAGCAAGATTTAAAGAAAATACTCTTTTATCTGTCCTATATTTGTGAGTCTAAAGTCTTATATGTAACTTATCTTTAATCTTAACTAAGGAAAACTATAAGCATAACTGTCTGTCTTCAACTCCATCAAAGACCACAGAAGGATAATATATAAACTCTAGAATTGACAGAGACAACTTGCTGCTTGGTCAGTCACCCAAAGTTCTTCTGTAATGTTCCATCTTCAGGCTATAGGCCAAAGTGTGTGGCAGACTCCTCAGCAAAGCAGGAAACTTTAAACTGTCCATGTGCATTGGCAGATTGTCAGTCACTTTTTTCTGTGTCCTGTAAACTATCTGCCAGACACTTCACTAAAGCAGGAACCCTGTTGCAAATGTCCATCTTGTATCAGCAGTCACTTTCCTGTGGATCCTGCATGTCCAGTTTATACAGCATAAAGTCAAACAGTCCAGACAAGATCAGTATCTTGTCTAAATGGCTAGTCTTGTTATATTGAAAGTAAACTCCATAACACGCTTCTTTAATGTCCATCTTCCTTATCTCACTACAGCTGTAAATTCTTTGCACGCACTATGTAGTTCAATCCCCAAACCAGATTTATATATATGACATTCTCAGGGAATTCTGTAGGCTCTTTAGTGCATGTGGTAGAGGCTGTCCCCTACCATTGTGTCATCCTTCAGGAAGTCATTACTGTATATAGGCAAGAAACAGAAGGCCCTGAGCATTCTGAACTATGTATGGGATGCTTAGCCAGCTGGTTCTATCTCAGCTTCTCTGGCCTGTGCTTTTAATTCCTAAAGAGAATAGAATCATGCAAATGGTCTGCTTCTTACCCAGAGATGATGACTTCAGAGACCATAGTGCTCTTTGAGGGTTCTTTTTAAATTTTAATTAAGGAACCAAAAGGTTGTATTCTACAAGGAATAAGTCTGGCAAGACAGGCCTGGGCTCTGCAAAAGAAGTATAGGTGTAAAGGACAGAGGTGTTGACTGTGCTGCATGTCTCAACAGGTCAAGTAATTTCTCTCCAAGGGTAATAGGAAACCAGTTAGTAGACCTGCTTAGTACCCTGCACAAAGAATGAAGGGTGGGGTCTAGACATCTGACATTAATAAAACTGGTGAACACAGAATACAAAGCATGGATGAAGGAAATTTGCAAATTTGCTGATTAGTGAAAATCATTGCCTGTGTTCATTTATCTCCCTACCTTCCTCAGATACTAGTTACATGTTTGTGTCCTCTTACACTGTCCACAGTGGATTGTACCACTCTAATATAATTACAAATAGTTGCCTCTCACCCTTGGAATATGTAGTGTAAGGTCTGTATTGGATTCCCAATGAAGCTTGTATTACATTTTCTTTTTCCTATGCCTACGTATATGTAATAAAACTTAATATATGTCACCACAGTAAGAGATTAACAACAATAACAAATAAAATAGTTGTAGCAGTATACTATGGTAAGAACTTTATGAATGTGAATTTCCCTCACAATAGCATTATGTGGTACCCAATGTTGTGATGCCTCTGTGGTGGAGTGAAATAAGGTGGATAAGTAAGTTTAGCATGTCAGTTATTAAGTAAAAAATAAATATTTGAATATATAAACAATGTAGTGGTATGATAAGCCATATAATAACAGATGCCCTCTAATTGACCAATGTGGGAGAGCATGTATAGTATAGATGTGCTGAACCGAGGAATGAATCATACCTTGGATGATAACAGAGAGGGGAATAGCACAAGAATTCATAACAAATCAGAATTGTGTGCCATTTAAAACAAAGGAGTTGTCTAGTTGCAGCATTTTACACTTAATATTTTTATATCAGCAAATAGCTGAAATCAGCACCTCAAATAAGGGAGGACTGCTGTATGTGACTGTAGGATTTGTAACAGCACCTCTAATCTCTACCATTCCACACCAAGAACATTCTCATTCTCAATTGTAGTAGCCTCTGTGGACATTGCACTCATGTGCATTTGCAACACACATGCACGAACATGCAGAGAAATGCTCATACATTTACAATCAAAATAAATAAAAGTACAATGCACTACACTGTGACAGCAGTGGCAGTGACAGATTGAGCATGAGGTCTGCCCTCAGTGGCTTGTTTCTGTCAGGTATCTAAATGACTCTGTCCTCCTGCCTGGGGTGAGAGGAAGGCAACATGCTAAAGAGTTAGAACCTTCAGTTTCCCTTTCTATTTGTCCTTGTCCCCTTAGCCATGGAGGCCCCATATATTTCCCCCAGGATGAGGATATGCAGCCATGAAAACAGGATTGTCTTAACACATAGAAAACATAAAGGATAAATGAATATTGATGGAGAGGATAGGCATGGCTTCTTAGCTGTTTCTACCTGCATTGGGAGCTAATGTAGTGATTGTAAGCTCAACTTACACTGGAACATGTCTTGAGATATACATATACACATATATATCTTTAGAGGGGTGTGTTCTAAGTAATGCATCCTTAGATTTTGCTGGGTGCACATCTATAGACTACATGCACTGGAGTAGCCTAGCTGTGACACCACAGGTGATGAAAGTGTATGGGTATGCTGTCTTACATCTAGACTGTTGTCAGCTAAAGCATCTACATACAGGGTTTACTGACTAGACTTAACTAAGTCACCTCTCTGCCCAGTAATAAGATGTTGACAATATATACTTCAGCATGTATTGGTTGACATTTTAATCTTACTTTGGGTATTATTCATTAACAGGTAATTGAAGATAGAAGAGAGGTCTGAAGAAAAAGGATTTGCCTGCATTGCTTCTGAGTAAGTGAAATGGCAAAACTGATTTCTCAATATGCAGTGAATTAACACATCAGCCTCCCTGTATTTCCTGAGCTTAAAAAAATAATGTGACAAGGTTGGCTTTATGCACTGAAAATGGTGATTTACCAGCATTTATTGCAATTGGCTGATTTTGCTAGCAAAAGGCTTAGAAAGAGAAGGATGAGAAATAGCAGCAGTAGTTCATGACAAACTGCTTTTACATTTTTTTCTTAGATGTGCTGGACCTGTAACCCTGGACCTTGTGCATGTTAGCAAGGTACCAACCCGCACCCCTAACCCCATAAAAACCTTCTTTAGTTAGGAAGCTGGAGATTTGCTACCAAGCTACAAGATACCTCAGTTCTGTATCTATTTTAGAAAACAAACATGGAGAGTGACCACTTTGTGTGTGCTTTTCAGTGGAGCATACCTGCTGATTTCTTTTGCTATGTATATATGACATTGTTATTTTGCTAGCCAGTCGTGGCTTCTAATAACAAATGGAAAGCATTTGGCTCTTTTGTATCCAGGGCTTCCCTTGTCTTATATGCCCCTCCTGAAATTAGTGTGGAAGTGAACTAAGCCTTGAAAGTCTGTGTGTGTCAGCCATATTTTTACACAAACATCTTTTGGCCCCATTCTGAGAGAACATGGAAGATGCATGGCAGATGAATGGGGAAGCCACTAGGGAAGCATTTTTCATTAGTGCTATTCTGGGTGGTTTATTAGAATAGAAGGAGGCAGCTTTGGGCAGAATGGGATCTTTGGAGGCTGATACGCTGATTGCCCTTTGTCACTTAGTTTTGATTGAAAGCATCCATTTTAGGCACTATTTAGAAACAGATTCTCATTGATGGCTGTCCTTGTGACCTGTTACTTCTGTCCTGTTGTAGAGAATACTGAGATATTTGAGGTATAGTTGAGTTCATTTGGAGTAAGAGTCACAGAGGTGAGCACAGGGTATGGTGCAGGCTGTGGTGTATCTGGGTATGTACCTTTTGCTAAGCACTTGCCACCTGATGTTTATTGATTCTTGGTAGCATCTTTACTGAGATAGACAGTTCACCCATTTAATATACACAGTTTAGCGATTTTACTATATTCAAAGCATCATATCCCCACCATCAAGTTTATCATTCCCTAAAGAGACTCTGTTAGCAGTCGCTCTCCATTCCTATCTTCCCCAGCTTGTGGGCACCATAAACTGGCTTTCTGTGCATGCATTTTTCTGGCTGTGGCCTTTGGTGTGTGGTGGTTTTCAATCTTCAGACTGTTCTCAAGGACTATATTGTGACTTAGTATAGATGTTTTGCTTTAGTAGACTCAAATGCTATTCCATCATCTCATTCATGCACCACACAGTCATTTTTGAAACCTTCTCTTCCTGTGGTTATGGACACCACTCTCCGGGCACTATGCATGCTTGGCCAGCACTGTACCTACAAACTGTGTTCTCCAAGCCTCTATATTTTTCTTATAAATAAAACACGGGGTCTCTCTGTGTTTCTTAGCCTGATTTCCAACTCTGGAGAGCAGGTCTTTACCACCATAGCTGCTCAAAACATTTTACTTTGAAACCATAGTAGACTTTCAGGGAATTAAAACATAATACTGTGATTTCCTGTCCTTAACCTTTTCTAGTAGTCATATTGTCCTATTGCCCTACAGGACAATCTGTCAGTATATATACCTTTGACTGTGCGTGAAGGAGGGAGGGAGGTGCTGTCACATGTGCTGGAGTGCACAACTAGAGGCCAGCTTCCTAGATGTCTGGTGAAGAGATTACATGTACAGAGTGAGACGTACAGTACTTCAAGAAGGAATGACGTGCCCTTAGATCCCCTCGTGTGTATGCTCTCGGTGTAACTGAACATTGGAAAAATAATTACTGTACTATGTTAGTTCATTCAGTGTGAACTAAAATCCTATCCCCAAATCCATACTCTTTCTCTTTCATTACAATGTATACAGGCATCTAAAAAATAACAAAATAAGCTGAAATAATAATAAACTGGAGTAGTACAAAACAGACTAGGAAAAGAAAAAGAGTCAAAGCAAAAGTACAAGAAACATCTTAACACATACACACACACACACACACACACACAGAGAGAGAGAGAGAGAGAGAGAGAGAGAGAGAGAGAGAGAGAGAGAGAGGCAGAGGCTTATAATCCCATGAAAACACAACACAGAGGAAGACTTATAAGGAGAAAAGAGATAATGCCCAGTCAAAGTATTCTAATATTAGCAAGCACCCTCCAAAAATACTATTGAGTTTGTTTTGTATTGGCCAACTACTGCTGGGCATTGGGTTTGCCCTTTAGTGTGGTTTGTAGACATGGTGATATGAAGTTGGACAAAACTTATGTTCTTTTACAAGTAGTTAACAATTTGAGATAGCGTCTAGGTTAGGGATTGGGAGTTTGTGTACACTTTACTCAGCTCTAAGGACGCCATCTGATGCAGACCCTTGTATGCCTGGTGCATGCTCAATCTCTGAGTTTGTATGTCTGTCAGTCCTGTTGAGTGTTTGGAAGACTGTTTCTTTGGTGTCTTCATCCTCATTGGTTCTTACAGTCTTTTTTGCCTCCTCTTCCATACTATTCCCTGACCCCTAAAGGGAGTCATTTGAGGTGAAGGCTCTAGGTAGGTACCAGCTTGACTTTTCTATGTATGATAAGTTATGTTAAGTGTTGTCTTCAGCAATAGGTCTTTTTGATCAGTTGTGGAGAGCAACCAATAACCTTGGTAATTGCCTGCACTGTTTAGAAGTGTCCATGGAGCCCCGTTGGCCAACAATTTGATTAGGTATTACTCATTCCTGGCACTGAAGGTTTCATTTGCTGCCGAGAAATGTCTGTCTAGTTGGGGCTTTCTCTCCCTCATTATTTGGATTTCTATAATTTTAAGATGCTTCTGCTGTAATAGGTTTCCATATGACCCGCAAATGGCCCTTAGTTTCAGCCTGTCCTGGAACTAGCTCTGTAGATCAGGATGGTCTTGAACTCACAGAGATCCTAGTGCCTCTGTCTCCCGAGTGCTTGGACTAAAGGTGTGAACCATCAATGCCTTATTTTTTTAATTGTGTTGTTTTAATGATATACAGTTTTTAAGTTCTTTGTATATTTTTTATATTATTCTTCTGTTGGGTGTGTAGCTGGTAAAAACCTTTTGGGTTCTGTAGGCTGTCACTTTGTCCAAATAGCAGTGTCCTTTTCTGTAAAGCTTCTCAGTTTCATGTTGACTTTAGGTGCTATTGGTGTTCAAAATTTTTTTTTCCTGTGTGTGCCCATTTTTCTATCTTTTAAGAATGCCTACTTATATGTGTTGCCCATTTTAAATCAGGTAATTTGTGCAAAGACTTACTTCAAAGATAGATCTGTTATGACTGCACATGGTGACAGGAATTTGAGGTGGTACATGCACTCTCATGGAAAATTCTATACTGCTTTTCTCAAAGGCTTCTTTCATAATTCACTTTCAAGGTTCTTTGCTACTGTTTTGGGACAAGTTCTGTCTTTCTATACCCTTCAGATTCCAAAGGAAAGAACACCAGAAGAATAAAAGCAGCAGAAATGTCTCTAATAGATCTTTCTGTTATTATGCTGCAAGCATGATCTCATCTGCTGCTCTCTTTTGCTAAGATGTTTGCCAAGACCCTCTGTTCAGGACTGAGTAGCAGTCCCCTGCCTGTCTTCCTTCTCTCTGACCCTAACCAGACTTTCTTCTTTCTACCCCATGTAAGGTTACTTTCATGCAGAGCTGTAAACTTTGTCTCTGTGTGGATAAGTTGGCTCCTGCAGTCAGGGTGATGGGTTTTCATCTTCATGTGAAAAGTGTCCGTGATTAGTCTGGAAATGTGGTATCTACTTTTTAGGTCACATCTGATTGGAACCACAGCTCGATGCCTGCATCTGACTGAATTCCGGACTGTTATCAGTATTTGTAATTCCTGTGGGATTATGTTTACTGGCCAAGGGTGTCACTTTATGTTTATGGCATAATTGAAACAGCTAGGGTGTCTCCTGCTCTTCATTCACTATTCCTTTGCTGAGCATAGGATGCCTCTTCTCCTGGGCTGGGGAGATGGTGCAGCTAGGAAAGTGCTTGCTTGATCCCTACCATCCCTGTTTGAAAAGCTGTATGAGTCAAAGTGGAGCCTGTAATACCAACGCTGGGGTGGGGGAACCAGGATGCCTAGGCCTCTTTGGCTAGCCAGTCTATCCAGTGGTGAGGTCCAGGTTCTATGAGAGATCCTGTGTTGAAAAAAAGTAGAGTGCGGGTGAGGAAGACACCCAACATCTGTGGCCTCCACGGGCATGTTTGTGTGCGTGCGCGCACACACACGTACACACGTGCGCACACACAAATATATACACAAAATACCTGCTTTGTAGATACAGGCAAGGAATTGTAGCATACTAGTTTGTGGTAACCCAGGTTTCATATGACTGGTTGAAGATGGACAATACATTGAAATAATGAAAGTACGCTGCAGGGGTTGGGGAGATGTCTCAGGATAAAGCACTTGTGTTGGGGACTAGAGTTTGGATATTTATAATCCTCATATACAATAGCTAATGTATGACAGTTTACTGTAATCCCCAGGGTTTGGGAGATGGGATTCTCAGGGCAAGCTAGCTTGCTGGAATAGTCAAACTGTCAAGCTTCAGTTTCTGTGAGAGACTTTGTATTAGGAAATAAAGTGGAGAGTGATCCAGGAAGACAACTGACACCAATACATTGTACATGTGTGTGCGCACACATACACATGGAAGCACGCATGCATATCACACATACACTTTTAAAAAGTGAAATGATCTGTAATAGATTGTGGAGATAATGCATTTTATGTTATCTCTGAATGCTCTGCTGGCATTTTAAAGCACACTTCTGCCATCTGTTATAGTTACTAAATATTGTGAACTAACTAAAATACAGCTTTGTTGTCCCTTTCCTCCCTTAGATAACTAAAGAGAAGTCTTCATTTGTAATATATC